AGTAAATTTATCTAAGGTATATTTCTTGAAGACACACACACACACTCACACATAAAAAAAAATTTAAAAATTAAAAAAAAAAAAAAAAAAAAAACTGATTTTTTTTTTAAATGCAAGTTTGTTTTTCTTATTATAACAGAGATTGTGAATTTTATCATAAATAAGTAGAAGGAGAAAAGTAAATTAGGTATAGAGAAGCATGACATATCTTTGTTTTAGAGATAATAAATCTCTGAAAACTGTTAATGCGCTGACAGAAAAAAAAAATCCCAGCACCAAGAAGAAATTAATGTAGAGTAATGAAATTTTGTCAATACATTTGTCTAGGTAACATTAATTGATTAATATTTCAAGACCACAGGTTCAGGTAAGCGTAAGAAGAGCCATTTCAAACGTGAAATTCTGGCACATTAATAACCGATGTAACCACCAGAATTTTGAATGCAGTCATGTATTGTGTCTGCCAGACATGAGTTTGTGGGATGGAGTTCCATGCTTGTTGCACTTGGTTGGTCCATATAGAGACTGTTAATGGTGGTTTATTTTACAAATTAAGTGTTTTTAGGTATGCCGGGAAGCGCCCGTGTCCAGCAATTATTTGATTGTACTCAAAATCACATATCATTCTCATATTTTTAGAAATTTCAAAATTCAACAAATAATCTTTGCTTTTTCCGAAATATTCCATTTTTTTACCAGCAATCATAATAGAAATCCTTGATTTTACCAATAACAATTATTTTTTGATGCCTGAATATCGAACGCATGGCAGCTTCTTGGGCCAGCATGGCGGCCCTCTCATTGCCTATAACACCAATATGGTCTTTCACCCAGTTAATTTTCACTTCATGTATTTTTAAACTTTTACACGGAAAGTTTTTACATATTAGACCAAAATATTAGTCTTATCAGTATCTGCTAGTGCTTCCAAACCAGAAAATGAGTCTGTATATAATAGGTGTGTTCAAATGAAAAGTTACGAAACGATATATATATGGATATATATTGAAGTCTTTATTCAGAACTAATCACCAGAGGCCTGAGCTCAAATATCCCACTGTTTCACGAGCCGAAGGATTCCCTCTCTCCAGAATTCCTGCAGTTGTGAGAAGAGCCAGTCCTCTAGTGTCTCCTTCAGTTCGTCGTCGGAGTTAAAGCACTCCTCTTTTGAAATGTCACTTATCACCAGGTCGTTCACCTTGTCGATAAATTCAGCCGTGATTGCCGTGTTTGCCTAGTCTGGTCTCGGGTCATCACTCAAACACTCTAGGCCTTCACGAAAACCGGCTTTTCACTTTCTCACCGATTTGTCAGACATAGTCTTCCCCGTATACGGCCAACATCTGGCGATGTATATCGGCCACTTTAACACCTTTCACAGTCAGAAATCCGATGACACCTCACTACCCCTCAGTCGTCAAATTTTTCCAGTGTGAAGCCCATGATGTCCTCAAACGCACTGCAGCATCAATTAGACGGAGCACACAACTTCCTCCCTCTCTCCTGCGTTATATGTGCCGGCGCCTAGCGCATTCACACAACCACGCCGGATACTACATTCGTGTCCATAGATGTCTCACTACGTTATGGCAAAGCGGCATATTCAAATTTCAACCGGCTTATTTGTTACGAAGTTCCGTACCTTTTCAATTGAACACCCTTTATATATTAATGTATGTTTTTACAGTCAGGTTTTCACCAATCCATTTAACAGCACATATGATAACAGACATTTCGGTTAGAAAAACGAATTGTAAGGTTCAAGTCTTGTTTTGCCCTAATCTGCTTCTGTGCCAGATAAGTAAACTACATATACTGCATCAAACGCATTGTCATAACCCGAACCGTCAATAAATATATCCAGTTCTCCTAAGGAAATATCTGGTCTCCGGTATTCCACTGCTTTTCTTAATGCAAGACATATATTGTTAAAGACAGAAAATAGATATTATATGCAGCAAAAACTTCATAAATAATGAAATCAACATTTTTTGAACGTGATTTAAATTTATCATGAAAAAAAAAAAAAAAAAAAAAAAAAGGGGGGGGGGGATAAAATATCGAGAGAGACGGCATACCGCCCAACATGCAAACGATTTCCATTGATATTGTTTTAAAGCATCTAGTCAGAAGCAACAGGGTCATTGTATTGTATTTAATTTATTTCTGATTCGCTGCAGGTTCTCGACCCTGGAACCCCAAGCCCCAACACCATATAATATAATGGGAGTAATAACTGTTTTGTAAATTAATCTAATAATGGTACTTTTCAGTACTAGTGACTCAGCTGAGAAATTTTTTTATAACACATTAGAATAAAGTTAGCTCTTTTATAAATATTGTTAAAATGCTCTTCAAAATTCAGTTAAAAATCGATAAAAACACCAAGATATTTAAAGACTTTCAACACATTTAATTCTAACACCTTCATATTTTAGTAGTATACCCCTTGTAGAACAATTTAGGAAGTTCTAATGTTGATTCAAAAAGAACCTGGTGATGGTCTTGAATGAGTTTTGAAGAGTAGAATATTAACATGTGACACATTAAGCATTGAAGATGGATTTTGAAATAGGAAAGCTGTGCAGGACACAAATTTAAAATAGTTAATAATTAATAACTGCAGGTCAGTAAAATGTCCATCTGATAGAGTTAAAGGATCCTGAGACCTCGAAGAAGATCACAGCCACTCTGGAATTCAGATTTTTGTGAACTAATAATATAGAAAAGATCATGAAGAGCATTTTCTGTCGAGCTGCCTGGTGTAAATCGGTATTGTTTTGTAGATAAAAAAAAACATTTTTTAATAATAAGTAGTACAGTCTATTTCTAACTAATCAAAACTTTTTAACAGACATATAGGTCTGGTCGCCCCGCCAAACTTTGGAATAAACAAAACTCTAGAAACTTTCCACACTTTAGGAAAATAGCGTAAATCAAAGTATTTTTTATATAAGAACTCAAAGAAATCAGAATATTTTCAAAATAAAAATTTTGCCATAGTGGCCAACATTCCATCCGGTCCCGTGATACTACGATTACACAATTCCTAACCACGTTGCTAATTTTCGTTTAACTAAACGGCAGATCATCTGAAGTGCATCCATCATCCTGCAACTAATTCACACCCAAAAAACCATCTTCAACAGAGCCACAGTGAAAGTTCTTATTAAAATAACCCTTTATAAGCCCAGCATTATTCACATCAGTATTACCGTTTTCCCTCATAATCATTTCCGAGACACATGTTTTACCATTAGCCGCGCGAAGGAATCCTCCATATTATTTTGCACTCTCAACAAAGAAACTTATTTTACTCTGGCGTTTCACTATCTTTATCGTTTTTTTATATGCAGCTAGTTCTTTTTTATATAGGATCTTCCTTTCTATACGAACATTTTCATCAATATTTTTAATCTGGCAGTGTTTTCTAAATGCGCGAATCCGTCGTTTTAATCTCTGCAGTTCCGGTGTCCGCCACAGAATAACATTTTTATCTTTCCTCTTAAGTTTGAGGACCTTATTGGCTCTATCAACTAATATATTTCCCAATTTAACAACATAGTAATAATCAAAATCGTAAAAACAACCTTGTATTTAGCGTAAGTATAATGAAACACTCAATAGATTTCGAGGGCAGCTAAAGGTCCCTCCTCATCAGGAGAAAGAAAACCTAGAAAGAAGAAAGAAAGGAAAGGAGTCTCAGAACACGTGGTCCTATCAGATGCAGTGGTTATAATGGATTTTTAATTGAATTTGCACTGGCCGCCTCTTTTACTGAGCCAGGCTATCTGATCAAGCAGAAAGGACAAGAAAAATTAGCGAAGTTAAAATAGGGAGCGAGGGAATCGATTGTTTCATTATACTTACGCTAAATTCAAGGTTGTTTTTACGATTTTGATTGTAACATTAGCGTGTTTCTCTTCTAGTCTAACATAGTAATAATCATCCTGAAGGAGCTGTAAATTTTAAATTCACTTTTATTCACCCGTTTATCATAAGTGAAACTGTATTTAGTTATGCAACTCATTTCGTAAACCAACTACTACACAAGTATCTATTTGTATCGTTAATATTTAGATTTAATTTGTACATTAGAGAGCTATAAGCACAGTAACGTAGCCAGCGGGAACCGTCAGTCATTAATTAAATTTGCCAACCTTCCAAGCAAACTGAAAAAGGGTTAAAATAGCATATACAGAAATTAATTAAAACTATGTTTATTTTTGAAATAAAATTTTAAGTCCATTTTAAAATTATTACTATTATTATTATTATTTGTAATTGTTGGCGAAACCACCTATGACATTTCAAAGACTTACTTGATTCCTCCAGCAGCTGTTATATAGATGGTATTGAAAGATTTCTTAATTACAAAATATGCATTTTTAGGTCTTACAACTTCTTAAGTTTTTTTTTATTTGGAAAACACTACTTACAACTAGCAACATTTATGCAACAATTTTGAGGAAGGTTCACAATAGCATCACAATACTTGGAGTTCTTGAGAATGTATGTAGTTTAGAAAAATGCAAAAGTTCAAACTGATCTTCCATCCATGCCTTATTTTGTTTTCCTCAGCAATATAACGAAAATAAAAATGAACACTTTTCTCTTAACGAGGAATACTTTCTTAATAATACCACCGGGATTACAATTTAGTTAATATTCGCATTTTTCTATCTAAGGAAGATATCTAAGGAAGATATAACAAAACTATGGAGCTGTTGATATCACGTGTTGATTTCTTTGACTACCGTATCTAGTATAAAAATTATTTTTCTTCTTAAATTAATTCTGTACGGTAATGCAGAATCTCGTTATTTTTCACGTGCGTCAACGGTCTGTATGACTAATCCCTATAAAATAAAGTTTCACATGAGAAATACCACCCCCAAAAATCTGTCACCCGGGGTTTCTGCCCCTCCGTCTCTCTTTAATTACGCCGCTGCATAAGCAAGCATCATCTAACAAAAAAGAAACTGTTTTTAATTCCTTACCTTTTCAAGAGCATTTTTTGCTTCTTCATTTGTGCTGTAAGTTACAAATCCATATCTAAAAAAGCGAAAATATTTTAAATTGAAGTCCATAACATACTTATATTTCAATTTTGATGTTGAAGGGTTAAAAGCTCTTATATTTAAATTGCGATATTTCGTAGTCTTTTAAAAGGTATTATTTTGAAAGTTGTTACCCTTTTGAAAGGCCAGTACGATTTCGAATAATTCTCACTTCTGTCACGTTTCCATAATTCTCAAATTCTGACTGAATATTCCATTCACTTATCTGAAACAAAAAATACGAGTATTAAACTTTTAAAGTGTATTGGCTCGGATTAGTTGGTTATGGTAAAGTAAAGTAGGCTAGTGGTGTATGCGTGAGATTGCTTCGTAAAAGGCTTTGAAAGGGACATCTGCTCATGTTTGTATTAAACGTGAGGGTAATTGATAAAACCTTGTAGAACCCCTCACGATTCAGTCATCAACAAAGATGAAATATAGCTCGGCCACATTAAACATCTCGGCAATCTAAAATTGTTTCATTTCAGTTTCTGTCATTAATTTTTTAATACAATGGAGGGGGCAGTTGCCTATTCAGCTTGGCCACTCCTTAGGCCAGAACTGATGGCCATTTTATTCTGGAGGCCACTAATAGCAGCAACCTTCGCCTTCTATGAAAAGACGAGCAGCTAAAACAGTGCCTTCTCTGGCCTTCGAACCTGAGCACTTTGATACCTACATTATACCGTCTGTCTTACATTATACCATCTGACCGTATAATGGCTCCCCTAACCATTATACCGTCTGTACAGCCTTTTATTAATTATATAATAACTCATTCTGAGATTTTGCAGTGGCCCTGTTGGCATACTGCTAGGGCATCTGGCTTCTGATAATCCTGGTTCTGGACTCGAAACCCAGAGATGGCATGACGTGTATAGTGTCTTTATGGAATGGGGAGTACTTAGAATACTAAAGACTTGTAAGCCCAAGAGGCTATGATAACAAAAAAGGTAAAGGGATTTTTCAATTCTTCCTTGAAAGTCTTCCCATCAAAACTGTGGTGGAGCTAAGAACGGTGAGCCTCAACAGCTCACATGCTAAAATCGCAGATGACCGACGGGGGTACAAAAGTGCAGTAACTCTCGCTGTTTTACTAGCGGTTCAGAAATTTCTCGTCTACTTCGGAAGTTCTCCGATAGCAGTATACTCGGATCATGAGGCAGTCGGTCGCTTGTATTCGGGGAAAAAAATCTATCATCTCACCTGATACAGTGGACATTAAAACTACAAGAATTTAATTTAATTATAAAACACATGCCTGGAAAAGAAAATTTAGTTGCCGATGCCCTTTCAAGAATTAAAATCGATGAAGAGGGGATTGCAGTCAAGTGTGGCTATGCTCGCTTTAAAGTTATTGAGTCCCGTGAACCTATTATTGAGGAATTAAGAAAATATACTGAATTCCAAGATATTTACGCATATCTTGAAGACCCCGAAAATTTTGAACATATAGATTGAACAGCTATTCGCAATAGGGCAGAGGCATTAGGAAATAATTGATAAACTGTTATGCTACACGAAATTAACAAATGAAAATCAGGAATACCGGCCAATGATTCCAGCGAGTCTACTTTTAAAGATTTTAAAGAATTTCGCAACTCGCCTATGGCTGGTCATGTCGGAATTCGAAAAACCGTACAGAGGTGACGCGAAGCGGTTTATTTTCTGCAGTTCCAGAGTGTAGTTACGGCGTATGTCAAATGCAAATGAGGAAGAGCGGTATTTAACCGCGGAGTTCTACTGTCTTAGTCAGAGAGAACCAGTGATTCTGCTTAGCACGCATCCGCCTTTTTAGGCTACTCTCTCTTAAGCTATTATTACGCTCGGCCGTACTTTAGGCCCTTGATAGCTTCGCAGTTTATTAGTGTTAAGGAGCCAACTCTGTTAGAAATTTGATAGCTTCGGCTATATCTTTTTAGTTAAGATTAATTAGTTTAGTTCTTAGTCTCTTAAGTTCAAGCCCGATTGTCGGCTTTATTGTATAACTCCAAGACGGAGTTCTGTTAAATTTTAATTTGGAATAATAAAGGGTCTATAATCCTTTTTAAGTCTTAGTCGCTGTCTCACGAACTCAAGCGATTATTCGCTTATCAGTTCTTAAGATTCTTCAAATTCAACTGTAACTTAAAAGTACACAGTACAGAATCTTACAACTGTTTTAAAAAATGAAGCAATATCATGTAGAGTAAGGCAATCAAGATTGCGATCTGATGACAGTGATAAATGCGAAATGGATACTAGTTATTTATTATATTACCAGAGATCTATTAAACTGAGTAAAATCACTGAAAGAGGTATTGAATGCTCTGCCAAAATATATTTACTAGAAAACTTGAATTTGATAATGAATGTGTCCTAAAACGTGTTTCAAGTGAAAAGTTTTAAACTTGATGGGTAGGTGTAAATATAAAATTATTGACGTTAAAATATTTGCAATTAGGTACTTAGGTCAGGTTAAGCTTTTATTAAATAGGGTAAGGCATGCAGGGGCTATCTCTGCCTGAATGGAGAGATACCATCGTGGAGGAATTTCGAAGGAAAGTGACTTTAAGTAGATTAAAAATAATTTCACACAAATTATTTTTATACATATTTCTTATGTAAAAAAAATCAGGCATATGCTAAATTATTGTAAATTTCTTTACTCAAAAAAGATAGTGAATGAACAGAAATTAAAGATTTGCACACGGCGCAAATGAAAAATGGTAAATATATATGAGTATTATGCATATGTTTGAAGAAAGCATGTATCTGCCTTTAATGAAATACGTAAATAGTTATTAAATTATTTACATATGAATTTGGAAATGAAGGATTTATTCATTCATAAACTCATGTGAAAGTTACTGTGAAGAAATCTAATTATTAAATACATATAAATTTATAATAATTATAAATATTATCTAAATATATAATAAACTTAGCATTTAATTTTGAACATAAATTGAAATTCTGTTCACAAATACGTTTATAAAACTATTTAAGCAAGAATTGTTCGTACTGGAAAGCAATCTTTTAAAAGGTATTGCAAAGCAAATTTTATGAGATGCATTCTTAAGGAAGTAGTAAAGAAAAGTTTAGAATATGCATTGTTGAAATTAAGGGTACAAAATTTGATAATTAAACAAATTAAAAGAATTATTCCCTTACATTCTATAATTAAAAAAAAAGAGTACTTTTTTATTTCCCTTTCTGAAATTTTCATAGAAAGTTAAGTACATGGAAAACAGCACCAATATTTAACATATTTCACTATTAAAATAAAAGGTGATGTAATTTTAAATGAACGGAACAGAGCATTAATTATAAATTCACTCAGATTTTCGATTGAAAAGATGCCTCAGAAGCTAAAAATTCATCTCATATTTAAGAAAGTATTTTAAGAAAAAGCTCTGTAAAGAGAAAAGAAATAATGCATAATTTTAATATTAATAATGCAATAAACTTTGATCTTAATTTTTGTAATCCTTAGCCAAAATAACTGAAAATTCTTTCTAGTGTAATTAACGAAAACTTGTGAAAATATTTCATTCAAATTAAACTGTTCTGGAAAAAGTATAGCATTTTATTCCGTTCAGAATGAAATGCTGTTAAAAAATACATTCTTCTCACGTACTTAGGACTCTGAAATATTATAGAAAAAGAAAAAATATATATTTATGTGTATATTTACTACGTAATTACACAATGTTTACATCCGATCATTCCAAAAACCATTGATCTTAACGGTGAGTCGCTGAATGTTTTGGTTTTCACGAAGGGATCGCCACTGCTTCAAAACACATAATGCGGAAAACCGATTAGGACCTCTCCTCTTACTTCCTACCTCCATGTGGGAAACTGACTTGTATCTAGGCTATGTATGCGGAAAACCAAGAAAACAATCATGCAGCCATGCCATTCGCCTGGAATTGCGCCTGTATCGAACTGTCAGTGTTCAGCGATTTTACCGCTCGGCCACTGATAAACCCCACTTTACTTGGCAGTTCTGCGTTAAAGCGGCTACCACGTTTAGTAACCAGAATTGGCAAACTTGATCGCTAATCGATAATTTGCAAAGTCTTTTGCCTTGGCTGCTTTAACAAAAAAGTATTTTTTATTTTGCTTATGAATCTACTACTTATGCTTAAATGAAATTGATCTTTATTGCTAAAAAAAGTCACCAGTTCTGGCATCATTCTAGTTATTTACTTCAAGCTAAGTAATTATCACACGTATGTGTATGCACGTACGCATATAGATTCTTATTACTAAAAATATAAATATTTTCTCAAATTTATGTTAACGTCAATCAGTGTACCCTATCTGCTGTTGCTCGTACATTTGCAATTAAATATGCTTCATCAAATTTTATGCCTCTTTCGATACATCCGAATAATTATATATAAATTATATTCAAAAATATTTGAAGTTAAAAAAAATTTGAAGTTAAGAATTTTACATATAATTCAAGACAGAAACATATGATAATGTTGTTGAATTTAACCTATTATACATAGCTTACGTCTCTAAAATTAGAAATTAAGTTACCTTCTCATTAATGCATTGTTTAAATATCATAAATTTAAATAATACTAGTAATTGAATATAACAGAAACTTAATTAAATTTTTAAAAATGCAATACTACTCACACAATCAGTAATACCTCCAACAAATACCCGATTAGGAACTATTGTTTCAGAGCCATTGGCAGCATCACTGGGACTCACTGTAGATGAGGGTTCATTTCGAGTCTCTTTAGTACTCGTTTCGGACTGAAAACGAATATAGAAATAATGAGAAATTAATTCTACAGGAAAAAGGAAATATTTTGGAAAATAAGGGTGAAAATTAATAAAATTGTTTTATTTTAAATGCATAGACCAATCTCATTTTTACTTATTCCTGAATTAAGTTTGCCAGAGTAAAACTTACTCTTTTTGGTGGATTTTAAATGCTTTTTTCCTTATTATAAAGATAAGAAATGTCCTAAAAACTGTTTATTAAAAATTGCCTTCCATTATGAAATAATTTAATTTTTAATTACGTCATAAATTAATAAATACAGAAGAAATAAAATTAAAATATCTATTTAAATCGGAAATAAATAAATTTCTACTAAAATATATTATAGTAATATAGTAATAAATAAATATTTCAGCTTTCAAGTAAAAAAAAAGTTTAGTTGAGATGATCTTGATCTATCCTTACGTTACGAGTACATTTTCCACTGGATCTCCGTTTATATATTCTTTGAGCCATTCTTTGGAGCTGTTCTTGATATTGATTTACTAAAAGCTGAAATAAAATAAGCAGACGATGCCTTTTATAAAAACCTATATTCTATGAATTTTCCCGTTGAATTTAAACGTAGATTTTTATTGTGTTGCCATTCAACTATGGCTGAATTTCAGAGAATGCTACTATGCAAACCAAGATTCACATCCACGTTTTGATGCCAAACTTTCTTGCCAAAAGCTTTAACTGCTGTCTTGCCAATTTATCGGCATCTATACCATTAAAATCTGTACGCGTCTGTCTATTTGTTGGTAACATTATCTCCTCCGAAACGGCAAGAAGCTGAGTTTTGAGAGAGGTACAGCGGATTCAAAAATTTGAAGCCATTTCCACCGTTTCCTTCTTCGAATGACTTTAATCAGCCGAGATGTTAATTAAAAACACTGAAAAACGCTAACTCTCGCACTGATTTTTCCTAGTGGCAGCAGTTTCGCGCGCTGGAGATAAAAATGCTTAATTTCGAAAAGTGTTGTCACAGCTAGCTTTCAAATCCCAAAGTTTGTTAATAAAAAATGTTTAAGATTTACAAAATTTGAAATAGAAATATTATTGCCAAATATTAAACATATTATTGTTATATAAAGTCATATTTTAACGCTGCAGAAAGCACGCGATTGTATGTGATGTCATTGTATGTCGAAAATGTTTCGTTAACGTCAGCATTTCAAATAAATAGCTGCTGTTGACAACTTTTTTGTTTCAGGTTAGGATAATTGACACGACATGTTATTGTCACGTTAAATTTTTATTGATATTGAGAAAAAGTTGCTATATTACATTAAATTGAAATCATAACTTCATACTTATATATATATATACCTGAAATCTCAAAAGTTTTTGTTTCCTGGTTTGGCTATCAGGTTCAATGTTCCGCCCTACTTGCTTGGGGAACATTCATGAACCTGACTCGGAACAGGGAGCTTACTAAAGCTATGTCCAATAAATGTGGGAAGTAGACAAGATACACAAGAAGGGTATACGAAACCCTTTATTTTTCACTCTTTACAATAATTTCCGTACTTCGGAATACAGAGACCAACTACTTGTGGTCTGAACGTAAGAATATAAAAATATTAACTAAACTCTAACTTAACTTTGGAATAATAAACAAGGGCCTACGTGGAAGATTGGCCGTATATTAACAGGAAGCCGTATGTAGTACAGAGAAACTGTTAACACTACAATACGTTTAAAATTATCAAGAGGATTAAACCTCTGGCCTGGAAGGCAACCAGCAACCGAGTAAAACTGCTAAGGCAAGCGGCCTGCTTCGACTAACTCCTTCCTCTCTCTCGCTTGGCAAAAAGCCACAACTTAAGTACTTGGCGTTCGCCAGACAAATTTGCATAAATAAGTTAAAGCTTTTAATTCTGGCCGGAAGTAGAAAATAAGAAGTGATAGTAAAGATTTAAAATAAAATAAACGTTAGTAAAACTTAAGATCCTTACATACTTCCCGCCAGAGTTAATTAGTTTGAAACTGAGGTCTAAAACGACCTTGTTGAAAACTTTTAGCTCTAGAATCTAACGCGAGGCCAATCTTTTACAAACATTTCTCACTAGAAACTAGAAATTTAAAAAAAAAATTGTTTTTACAATATCAGCTCCATGGACAACCAATTTTTCATCTGTACTGCATCTAAACAGGAGCTTTTATTCAAATCTGGTTCCTTCCAGAGATCTGGAAGGAAAACTAGTTTAATGAAATGTTACACAATGAAATGGCAAGTAACATGAATATTTATATTTTCTCTTAACATTCTTATTTCATTCATGACTTTTATTTTAATTATCTCTCCCCGTGCTCTCTGACATGTGTTGTAAAAGAAAACACCAAACACGAATGTGTTTATGTATACGTGTTCAACACTTCCCGCCTACGAATCAAAACAAAACACTAACGTGTTAAAATTCAACATAACAAGACCTCGTAACACACCCTATCTTCAACTCTAAACCCTGAGGTACTATTCTGAAAGTGGCTAACTCTGAAGTGTAGCGTCAGAGAGCCTAACTATACATTCATTCAACCTTTAACACATATTCACATATTTAGTCTTTTTTTTCAGTCACACGAATAAGTTGTAAAATTTTTTGGCATTACTTTCACTTTTACCATATCACGGTATTTCTTAACATTTAAAATAACAGTTCACATTGTATATAAGAACATATTAACATGCCGTTAATTTTACGCATTTTAAAAACATACATTAGTAGTACATTGTTAACTTCTATTCTTTTCCAAGCAAGTGCCAATTCTTTCTACATTGAAATACTACATTTCAAAAAGTCTTTCAGACTAAAACTTCTTTCTTGCCAGAATGTTTTAAATAAAATTTATACAATAACTTTTTACAATATTTTTTCAAGTTTTACACTTTCAAGTATTACACATTCCTATTATACATCAACTTTTAGTTTTACTCGCGAGTAATTGAAAAACATAATACCAAAAATCGGTAACAACTCATTTCTCGCCTTTTTGGCGATAAAGGTAGACCTCACATGAGGTAAAACTTCTTGAAATCTGCCACTTGCAGTAAGAATGAAAGATTAACTTAAGTTTGCAAAGTAACATAAAATTTTACTTATCTTTGTGATATTCGGACATTCTTTTCTCAGCCCAGTCCTGGAAGGTAGCGAAGATTCTAGTTTGATTTATCCTCCTTCTTGTGCGGGCTCGCCCTTCAGTTCCTTCCTCTAGAAGCTTTCTTTTCCTCCAGTTCGGTCACCCTTGAATACCTTCTTTTTCGCCTCTGCCTGTGGTCTTGGCCGTTTGATGGCAGCTGGTCTTGGCGGAACCGGGACACTTCTCTCTCGTTCCTGCTTGGACCTCGTTGCTGGCCGTTCAAATTTTCCTTGTATCTTTTCCTCCGCCGCTGGTGGCCCTTCCGCAGTTCGGCGACATTTGCTGCGGAGAGTCCTGTCCGGATGAGTAGATCTTCCGTTTTAGGAGCCGGGTTATAGTTGCCGTCATTTCTCCTGGCTCTCTTTGCATTCGTCGTCTTCTCCCTTCTTCATTCTGGGGGTGGTCGTGAGCTCTCTTTTCTGGTCGGTGGAACGGCTTCTTTTTCTTTCTTGTTACCTTCAATTTTCCAACGGGGAAACTTTCTTTTCAATTGCTCTGCTCCTGCCTCCTAATGGCTTGCCCTTGTACTTGTCGTTGTTCCACCCCTGGAGCTTGTGCCTGCCGCGCCGGATGCTGCAAAAGATCTGTATATATTTGCATTTTATTACGATCATAGTATGGTTTTATTTGATCAATGTTTGCGGAGCATGTTTCACCATTCCTGGCTTTTAACACCACTACAGCATGAGTTATTTTTTTATGACATATGGTCCTTCAAATCGTGGAAAAAATTTGGCAGTTTTATCTTCTGGTGCTGAAGAAAGTGAATGCTTAATTTTTAATACTTCATCTCCCTACTTTATAAAGTTACTCCCCGTCGTTTCAAATCATAATAGCTTTTGTTTTCTCTGTGCTACTTCAGTGTTCTTTTTTGCTTCTTTAATTAATTTTTCTATATCACCCATTTTAAATTCTGGGGCTCTTTGTTGCAACATAAAAATTTATCTAACTAACGGCGTTATAATCTTTCTGCCTAAAATAACTCAGCAGAGTTTTGCCCGTTGTATCATGTTTTGCGGTCCTAAGGGCGAAAGCAAATTCATTGACATAGTTATCCCAGCTTTTATGAAAATTTTTAACATAACTACGGATAATTTTCACTATATTTCTATTGACCCGTTCCGCTATATTTGATTGCGGCCGATACGGGACCATTTTTAAATGACGTATGCCCAGTTTTTGGCACATGTCTTCAAATATATTACTTACAAATTGAGGACCATTATCCGATATAACTTTTAGGGGCGCCCCGTATTTTAAAATATATTTATTTAAAATAGAATCAGTAACTAATTTCGCGGAGGCTCGTTTTAAGGGAACAATTTCGGTCCACTTACTAAAATGATCAACCATAACAAGGAGATAGCGACTTTTATTTAACTGACTTTTTGGGAAAGGGCCCAATAAATCGATGCCAATTATTTCATTTGGAAATTCGGATTTAATACTATTTAGAAACCCGGCCGGGCGGAAATTAATATAATTAACTGCTTGACATGTTGGGCAGGACTGGACATACGCCCTTGTTAACTTTTGCAGTTCAGGAAAATAGACTGCCTCGCGTACGCGTTGGATAGTTTTTCGAATACCAGCATGAGAAGCTAAAGGGCTGTCATGTAACTCCTGCAGGATATTTAATCTAAGACTAGCTGGGATAACAGGTCGAAATTCGTTGTTGGAATTTGTAGTTTTTGTATAAAATAATAGACCATCTATTAGTTCGTAATGGGCCGCCCTATTTCTTATCGCCACAATATCTTGGTGGCTAAAATTTTCAGGATCCTTTAAATACTCATAAATGTTTCCAAACTCAGGATCCTTACCCAGTTCGGTTATTACAGTTTCTCGGGAATTTATTGTACATGCTGTGAGCATTGCCACCTTTACAGTATTACCTTCTTCATCTATTTTTATTCTGGATAGGGCATCTGCTACGATATTTTCCTTTCCGGGGGTATGCTTGATTACCAATTATATTCTTGTAGCTTGAGTGCCCATCTTATTAACCTTGGGGATAAATTTTTCCCTGAGTATATGCAATGATACTAGTTACCGCCGCATGATCAGAATACACTGTTATTGGCGCCTTTCCAAAATAGAGACTCGGAACTTTTGCACTGCTAACAGAACTGCAAGTGCCTCTCTCTCAGTCGCGGAATAATTTATTTAAAATTTCTTTGTGTTTGATTTAAAGTTCTACTAAAAAATGCCACGGGCTGCTGATTTTGCGAAAGTACCGCTCCTACCGCATAATCCGAAGCATCCGCTGAAATTTCTAAATTCTCATCCTTTTCAGGAAATTTCAACACAGGGGCTTGCGTTAATGCTTGTTTTAATTTTTCGAAAGCACTATTGGCTTCGGCCGTCCACGAGAATCTTGCCTTTTTCCTTTTTAATTTTAACAATGGTTCAGCAATAGCTGCAAAATCTTTTATAAAGGACCTATAATATGAACAAAGTCCTAGAAAAGAAGAGAGCTTCTTCGCCGTGTTTGGCGGCGGATACTTTTGCACAGCGATTATTTTTGATTCGTCTGTCTCGATTCCTTTC